AGTCTCTATATGTTCATATGAGCTTTGCTCAGTTGATATAGAGGGCTTGGTTTCCTTGGTATCCTCCATCCTATCTGGCTCTTACACTCTTTCAGCCTCCTCTTCCCCTGAGCCCTGAGAGGAAGGATTTGATGGAAACATCCTACTTAGAATTGAGTGTATTAAGGTCTCTTAATCACTGCCTAATGTCTGTCATGGGTTCTCTGTATTTGTTCTCAACTACTGTGGAAGGAAACTTCTCTGATGATGGCTGAGCTAGGCACTGATTTCTGAGTATAGGAGTCATTTTATTGCTATTTTTATTAGAGCAGTAGTATTTGGTTTTACCCTAAGTTCCTGGGCTGTCTAGTCTCTGGTTCTTGGCCACCTAAGCAATGTTGGATATGGGTTTTATGTCACTGAATGGGACCTAAGTCAAATCAGATCTTTGTTGGTTACTCTCACAAACTTTGTGCCACCATTGACCTGGTATATCCTGTAGGCAATGCACCATTGTAGATCATAGGTTTGTGGCTGGCTTGGTGCTTTCATTTCTCCTTTGATAACATGCAGAGTACTTTCCTATACCAAGGACATTAGAATGTAGGGGTAAAGGCTATATGTAGGCACCAATTCTACTTCTCCACATTCAATGAGTTGTGTAGGTGTTGTCTTTAGCAATGGGACCTTGCTGTCAGTTTGTGGAGAGCAACCTCTTGGCAATAGCCTGGGTTGTCTGGGGATTCCTATGGGACCCCTTTGGCCAACAACTCAATTAGATGTAACCCAAATGTGGTACTGTAAGCTTCGTTTGGTGACAAGAGATGGCTAGTTGGGGCTCTGTCTCTCCCATTATTTGACAACTTCATTTAGATTGCCTTCATATATGCATATGATTTAGGTTTCCATACTTCCCCTCAAATGGTCCTTAATTTTAGCTGTCTCTCTCCATCTTCTCCCCTCATTCCCACCTTCCCCTCCCGACTTGATCCTCCTGTTCAAATCCCCCATGCACCCATAATTATCTATTCTATTTCCCCTTCCTAACAAGATCTATCTGTACCCTCTAGTTCCTTATTCTATACCTAATCTCTGTGGTTCTATGGATTGTAACTTGATTATCATTAGCTTAACAGTTAATATCCACGTATAAGCTAATATGTACCACATTCATCGTTCTGTGCCTAGGATACCCCACTCAGGATGATTTTTTTTCTATTTCCATCAATTTACCTACAAATTTTATTATGCCATTTTTAATGGTAATATTCCATTGTGTAGATGTACCTTATCATCTTTATCCATTCTTCTGTTGATGGGCATCTAGGTTGTTTCCAATTTCTGACTATTATGAATAGAGCAGCAATGAACATGGTTGAGCAAATGTCTCTGTGGTAGGATGAAATATCCTTTGGATATATATTCATGAGTGGTATAGCTGGATTGTATCTATCCTTACACTGAGGTCTTTGATCAATCTGGAGTTGAGTTTTGTGCAGAGTGTTAAAGTATGGATCTATCTAGATTCTTCTACATGCCAACATCCAGTTTGACCAGCACCATTTGTTGAAGATGCTGTCTTTTTTTTCCAGTATGTATTTCTGATTTCTTTATTTAAAAAAGTCAGGTCCCCATAGATGTGTGGATTTATGTCTGGGTCTTCAACTCAATTCCATTTATCAACATGTCTGTTTTTGTGCCAATACCATGCAGTTTTTATTACTATTACTCTGTAGTACAGCTTGAAAATGGGGGTGGTGATATACCTGGCAGTTCTTTTATTGCTCAGGATTGTTTTGGCTATCCTGGGTTTCTTGTTTTTCCATATGAAGCTGAAACTTATCCTTTCAGCTGTGAAGATCTGTGAAGAATTGTGTTGGAATTTTGATGAGGATTGCATTGAATCTGTAGAGTGCTTTTGGCAGAGTGGCCATTTTAACTATATTAATCCTACCAATCCATGAGCATGAGAGGTCTTTCCATCTTCTGATATCTTCAACTTCTTTCTTCAAAGACTTTAAGTTTTTAATCTTACAAGTCTTTAACTGCTGGTTAGAGTTACCCCAAGATAGTTTATATTATTTAAGGCCCTTGTGAAAGGTTTTGTTTCCCTGATTTCTTTTTCAGTCCATATGTCATCTGTACATAGGAAGGCTGCTGAATTTTGTGAGTTAATTTTGTATCCAGCTACTTTGCTGAAAGTATTTATCAGCTGTAGGAGTCTCCCAGTGGAATTTTTAGAGTTACTTATGTATACTATTATATCACCTGCAAATAAAGATACTTTGACTTCTTCCTTTCCAATTTGTATCTCCTTGATCCTCCTCAGTTGTCTTATTGCTCTAGCTAAGACTTCAAGTACTATATTGAATAGGTATATAGAGAGTGGACAACCTTGCCTTGTTCCTGATTTTTTTTTTTTTTTTTTTTGTTTTGTTTTTCGAGACAGGGTTTCTCTGTGTAGCTTTGTGCCTTTCCTGGAACTCACTTGGTAGCCCAGGCTGGCCTCGAACTCACAGAGATCCGCCGGCCTCTGCCTCCCGAGTGCTGGGATTAAAGGCGTGCGCCACCACCGCCCGGCTTGTTCCTGATTTTACTAGAAATGCTTTGAGTTTCTGTCCATTTAACCTGATGCTGGCTATGGGCTTGCTGTAGACTGACTTTATCATGCTGAGATATGTCCCTTGTGTCCCTAATCTCTCCAGGACTTTTATCATAAAAGGGTGTTGAATTTTATCAAAGGCTTTTTCTGCATGTAATGAGATGATTTTGTGTTTTGTTTCTTTCGGTTTGTTTATACCTCATGCTCCTTTTAAGCTTCTCCTCCCCCACCTGACCTCTTTAGAGCTTCTCAGCTCTTCCCGGCAGGTCCTCTGCTTCCTCATAAACACACGCATATTTGTTTCTGGGTGTTCACTTTCCTGCTACATTTTTAAACTTGTGATTATCATTTAGGAAAGTTGCCTTTCTGATCACCTCGAATTTGTTTCAATGCATCCCTGCCAGCTCTATGTGAACATAATCATGCTACCAGACAGTAATTTCTTTTCAGTTTCTTTCCAAAATGTATACTGCTTTCTGTTTTCTTCTGTTAGGATCTACTGGGTTCAGTTAGGATCTCAGGAAAACTTTGTCTTGTAGCAGCAGATCTGACTCTAGTAACTTTATGGCTTAGGGCAAGAGCAAAAAAGGTCACACACCTATGTCTGCATATTGAAAGATTATATGTGCAGCTAGCCAAACGGTTAGATTAAGTGGTTTTATCTTTCTACATGACACACCTAAGTTATAGCAAACATCATATAACCACCAAGAAGGCCAAAGTCAATCCTAGAGTGCCATGGCTCCCTCTTGCACTGGAGGCCTCCTTTTTAGAGCTCAACACCAATTCTCTTTCATTCAAAAGGTCTTGTTTAACTGATTTTTTTTGGCGTGCATGACAGCATAGTCTCTCAGTGAACCCATAGCTCACCAATTCAGCAAGATCAGCTAGCCAGCTGGCCAGCCAGCTCATGGATCCCCCGTTTGTCTCCAGAGTGTTAGGATTGCAAAAACATGCCACAGAGCTCGGCTATTTATGTGAGTGCTGGGTGCCTGAACTCAGTTCTTCAATCTTGCACAGCAGGCATTTTACCAGTTAAACCCTGCCCCAGCTTTCTTGTTTAACTAATTCTGACATAAAAAAAAAAAAAAAAGTGTTTCCTATGGTATTGCCTAATGTCTTTATTTTTCTCCTTAGGATGAAAATTTGATCAATATCTCGTTCTTTGAACTAAGGGTACCATAAACACTAGCCCCCAAAGAAAATTCAAATCGCTTAGCAAGTAGTATGCTTTATTTTAGAAATTGCTTTCAATACTTTTTTTTTTTTTTTGGTTTTTCGAGACAGGGTTTCTCTGTGTAGCTTTGCGCCTTTCCTGGGACTCACTTGGTAGCCCAGGCTGGCCTCGAACTCACAGAGATCCGCCGGCCTCTGCCTCCCGAGTGCTGGGATTAAAGGCGTGCGCCACCACCGCCCGGCCTCAATACTTTTTTAAACCCCTAATCTGAGGGCCAAAATTCTCCCTCCACTTCCATTCCACTTGCAGACCTTAAGAATTGAGTTTCCTTAGAGCTGATATGAACATCCTTAAGATTGTTGAAAACTACATCATCGGGGGAACCATTCTTAGCAATATTCTGATACACACACACACACACACACACACACACACACACACACACACACACACACACACACACACGCTTATTAATTGCCTGGGTCTGGAGGTATAACCATTCAGAGAGGAGGCCCAGTGACCTGCACACACTTCAGAGCTTGTTCTTGCAGCAGCTCGTCCAACTGGAATGACTTGAGAAGGAAATTAGGTAAATCAGCTGTGAGAACAGCTGTGTCACAAACAGGCTGAGCTGGAGTGAGTCACTTCAAATCTGTGCTGAGCCTCAAAGTCACCAACTCTCATTTTAATAAGGACAGACGCCCAAAGCGCTGCAGCAGGCTCTGGGCAAAACCATAATTCGTCCCTGCTTCCATCTGTGCCCTTGGCCATTAAGGACCCCCCGTCCCACAACTCCCGCAACCGCCAGCCTGTCACTCAGGAGCTTTGGGGGGCGGGGCGAAGGCACACCTCTCTGAGCTTGTTTCCACACACCTAAAGAGCTAAGGACACGTGGTCGTCCTCGCCTGCAGAATTCAAGGAACACGAGAAAATGCGCAGGAAAACTGTAACATGCAGAGGGTTATCCAAATGTAAACTGTCTTGGACACAGCACACAAGGCGACCTACGAAGCACATGTAGTTCCGTTCCTCCAGGGGCTGGCACCGCTTGTCCTACCTCCCCTCCCGCTGGGACGATACGGGGCGGGACCACTCGACCCCGCCCCCTGGAGATGCCCCGCCCCTCTTGCGCCTGCGCCGTGAGTATCGACGGCCTCGAGCTTCTAGGCGGGAGGTAAGGGGCTGAGGGGCGGCCTCCTCCGGGGGCGCTGGGCTGCGGACGTGGCAGCGCCGGCCGGGGTGTGGACGTCCGTGAGAGGCGCCAGGCAGCAAGCCCGGCTTTGGGTCGGTGCGAGCGGCGCGTCCAGAAGTGGCCGAGCCTCCCAGGTTTCAGTTTTGGAGCAGCTGTCCCAGCGGGCGCGGGGAGGACGGGACCCCGCGGTGCCAAGGCCTCCGGGGTCGCCCTGGAGAGACGCTCCGGGCCCTGGGTTGTGTCGGGTCGCCCGCTCAGCCGCGCCGCTGGGGGCGGTCGGTGTGGCCCCGGGTGCGCCCTGGTGACGTCGAGGGGGACGACGCGACGCCGGTGCCCAGGCGGGACGCGGAGAGGCCGCAGCTGCGGGGTCCGGGCCTGCACTCCTTGCGCCACCCACAAGCCCAAGGGGACGAGTTACTTTGAGGGATGGTGTTGTGGGTTATTTGGGACATTTTTTTTAGGAAAGGGGCCCTTTGGCTTATGAGTAAGTCTCCAGTAATCTACTTCACATTTGAGTACTTTTTCTTCTTCGGGACCCTGAGTATCACGGTACCCATCCCATCTTAGTTGCAAGTACCAGGAGATCAAGTTTGTAAAGCACTTGACGCCTCCCACTGCAAATGTGTGCGCCTGGAAAATGATCGCCATTCTGGCTTCTAAATGTTCTTTCTGTCATGAAACAAGCAATTCTTAAACATGCACAAATACAAACACAAAACAGAAACTGTGGAGTAATTTACAATTATTGATAGTTTGCACAAGTAGCTGGGAGGTGGTGGTACACGCCTTTAATCCCAGCACTCCCGAAGCAAAGGCAGGGCGCTCTCCGGGAGTTCAAGGCCAGCCTGATCTACAGAGCGAGTTCCAGGACAGCCATGGTTACACAGAGATACCCTGTCTTGAAAAACAAAACAAAACAACAGAGGAGAGAGACACAGAGACAGAGAGGTCCCACAAGTAGTACAGAAGACTACAGCTTCCCTTGTGTTAGCATTTTACATACCATACAGTCACTGAGAGCAAGAGATTAATATTAGATTTAACTGGGTCTCCTGTGATAGCATTCTTTTTTATTAGAATACTTTCTGTGTTCTACAATGGGATCTAAGACCCAGCCTCACTCTTTATCTACATGGCACCATCACCTTTTCCAATCTTGGACTGTCTGGTGACTTTTATGCTTTTGAAGAACCGGGAGTCTTGGTAGTGCCTTTCGAGTGGGAATTTGGCTATAGTTTGTTGTGATTAGATTGTTGCATTTTTGTTCAGAACACCACAAAATATAAGTACCCTTTTCAGTTTATGCCACCATGGATCCTCGGCTCGGGACCTGCTGCTTGTGGTGTCAACCTTAATCAGTTAAACTTGGTGTCTGGGGGATTCGCCACAGCAATTACTACTCCAGTAATTCTCCAAGTACTATTACGTTGGTACCGTGGCTCCCTTCAATTTCCCTCCTTCCTTCATTAGAATTATTCTCTAAGAAGGAGCTGTACATTCTTCCTATTTCTTTATCTGTATTCAGTTCTTTGTGTCAAACTCCTGTGATTGCCGGGCAGTAGTGGTGCACACCTTTAATCCCAGCATTTGGCAGGTAGAAGCAGGCAGATCTCTTGAGTTCAAAGCCAGCCTGGTCTACAGAGCTGGGTTCCAGGGCAGCCAGAGAGACCCTGTCTTAGAAAAACCCAAACAAAATCTCATATGATTATTTTTCTGTTATTATGCACTTAATATATCAAATTGTTCTCACTTTGACCAGTGGGAGGTCTTGTGTTGTCCTTTTTTCTGTACCCCTGTGTTCTCCCTGCCCCAGTCCTGGAATCGACCACTTCTTCAAGGACTCCCGATTTCCTTCTCTCATGTGTTGCTTGCTGCCCTCTGTCTTTCAGGATGGTGTTAGATACCAACAGCTGTGGTCCAGGGGTGCTCACTGCTACTAGGGTGCCATTGCTTTCAGAGCCTCACAAAGGACAGCAATATATGCATGTACACACCCATGTATGCAAGATCAGTATTTATGTATCTGTTTGTATAGATTTAAAAAATAAAAGTGCAGAATGGTATCTCTGTCTTCATACCACCAGGTTCATCCTGGTATTGGCTCCTGCTTGTTCTCTAACAGTGAGAACTGACTCACTTTCTGGGAAATGTTTTCTTATTTGTTCAGTCCTAGTATGGGCAGACAGTAATTCCAGGATATCTAAAATACACTACTGAGAGATGAAGTTGGAATTTTCTTTGAGCTGCCAACCAGCTCCCAGATAAAGACATGGAAACATTATTAATTATTACTGCTTGGCCTTAGGGTAGGCTTGTCCCACTAGCTCTTTTAACTTAATTTAACCTGTTTCTATTCTAATATACTTTTTGCTTTGGGGCTTTTTAACCTTTCTTTCATTCTGTATGTCTACTTTCTTGCTTCCTCTGTGTCTGTCTGGCCCCTGGGTCTCTTTTTCTTTCTTCCCCCAGCCTAAATTCCTCCTCCTACTTACTTTCCCTACCTGGAAGTCCTGCCTACACCTCTCTTGCTATTGGCCATTCAGCTTTTTATTAAACCACTCAGGTGCCTTAGGCAGGCAGGGCAAAACAGCAACACATCTTTATACAATTAAACAAATACAACACATCTTTACATAGTTAAACAAATGTTCTGCAACAGAGAGAAAACACAGTCCATCTGTTTTAATCTTTAGCCTTACAATGTTTGGCAAAACAAGACTATGTTCTGGGCTTTGATTGCTTCTTTCCTCACTTAGTGCCATGGTAATGCAGCCTTATTTTTGATAGCTTATTTTTTGTTTTACATTTCTCCTACATTTTCGAGTTTTTTAATTTTTATGCAGTAGCATTTACTCTTTAGTGCATACAGTTCCATTGGTTTTGACAGTGCAAATAGCTGTATATCACCTCACCATGACAGAATAAATTGTATCACAAATATTTTATACTTTTTTTAAACCACTAAAATAATATAAAAACTTCACAGAAGTTTGGGAACTTAGGCATTTTGTATATTTTTGGACATTTTTACAGGTGTGAGATCTTTTATTCTTTTTTAGTTTAGTGTTTTAATCATGTGACATGTTCCATCTTTATGAGTAAAAAAATAAAAAGTGCTAGAATATACTTTCAGTCAGTATTTTTTTTTTTTTTTTTTTGGTTTTTCGAGACAGGGTTTCTCTGTGTAGCTTTGTGCCTGTCCTGGAACTCACTTGGTAGCCCAGGCTGGCCTCGAACTCACAGAGATCCGCCTGGCTCTGCCTCCCGAGTGCTGGGATTAAAGGCGTGCGCCACCACCGCCCGGCTTCAGTCAGTATTTAAACACACTTGTACACCACATTCTGACATTGAACTGGGATCTTCCTATAACATGACAAATGTGAACTCTTCCATGATGTAAATGCCATACTAGACAATATTTGTTATGATAACATTGTACCTGCAATCATTTGAATGCTATGCTCTCAGATATAATATATAACTATATATTACAATTTTGTAAAAATAGAAAATGATAGAGGAAAATATTTTAAATTCTAGTTAGAAGGAGACTGAACTTCTGTAGAAAAGTCTCTTGAGACACCATTTTTTCCCCACTAATCAGACCTTTGGTTAGAATATGGAGAAGTGCTTCTGGTGGAATGTAAACCATAAGAACCTTTTATGGCACATTTGGCAATGTGTATATTTTTAAAACTTTAAAGTGTGTCTGCTTAATATTTCTATTTTTAGTTATCTGTGTTAAATAATCATGGGTGGTAGTATAGATTAATGTATGAGGAAAGTAATCATAATTTGCTTATAATAGTGGAAAATTGAGATCAACTTAAATAGCATACAATGGATGATTAGATTATGGAACATTCACAGTGTAATCCTATGCTACTAAAAGTAAGTATGCAATAGAAATATTTACATGGTAACATTTTCCATATACTTGATCATGTTATTCAAATAAATCCAACATTCATTCATCCATTGAGTCCAGTAATAGGTTACTATGTTTATTCTATCCTTTTATTTTCTTTATTGTTAAAATGTGTTTTTTACATTCCTTTGCAGTGTTTTAAGGGGGAGAAGGGTGAATTCAATAAATGTTTATTGACCACATTACCTACCAAAGGTATTACAGACTCTCGGGATCCTGAGGTGTACCAAAAAGAAAAGTTCATGAACACACACACACACACACACACACACACACACACACACACACACACACTTTCTCTCTGTCTCTCTCATCTCTTTTCCTCCCTCTCCTTTTAGTAGTCGTTTTAATGAGCAGTTTATTAAATTCAGTCTTGCAGTATGAAAATAATTATTTTGACTTTACCATAAATGATAATTTGCCTGGGTATGTAACAACTCCTTAGTACTTTGAAGACATTCCTATCTTTTGATATATTGCTTTGATGAAAAGTTGGCTGCATTTGTTGTTTTCATCTATCTGTTATCTCTAGTTTGCTTTTTAAGATTTTTTTTCTTTGTCCTTGATGCTCTGCAGTTTCCTATCATGTGCTTAGGTGAGTTTGTTTTTATTTATACTAGCAGGGCTATATGCTTTTTCAACTTGAGATCTTCCGCCTTAATTCTCAGAATATTTCCTTTGAATAATTTCTGTTGGTTGTTTTCTGTATTCTTTTCTATTTGTTACTCATCTTGTGAATTTATGTTCTTTATCTCCTCATTTATATTCTTCATCTTTTCATCTTCCGAGTTCTGATAGCTTCCATTCACTAGTCCTCTCTCTTCAGTTTAGAGTTTTTTTTTTAACTTGCCTTATGTTCCAATTGGCCTGTTAACTCTTTTGTAACAAGAATCCACTCCTTCTTTCAAACAGACTTTGAAAAGTCTGGTTCTTCATTTATGTCTTTGTATATTTAAGAATAGATTTGACATTTCTTTTTGATCACTTTCTCATTCCTAGGCCCTGTGTTATTTTCTGTTTTTGTTTGTTTTTCTTGAGTCTCTTTTCACACTCTACTTTTCCACGTGTCTCTAGTTCCTGTCTGCTCTGGGGTTCAGTTTTAACTCTTTTCTTGGTGCCTGTATATTTTCCTTGGGAGCTTGTATTAGGCATAAGAACCAAGTTCATAGCTATGGGTAGTGGAAGTCATTTTTTATAGCGTCTGCTTCAAGATTTCAACTGTAGAAGAAAGGAGAAAAACAGAACTTGTTTAAAGCAGTTCTTTTTTTTTTTTTTTTTTTTTTTTTGGGTCTTTCGAGACAGGGTTTCTCTGTGTAGCTTTGCGCCTTTTCCTGGAACTCACTTGGTAGCCCAGGCTGGCCTCGAACTCACAGAGATCTGCCTGGCTCTGCCTCCCGAGTGCTGGGATTAAAGGCGTGCGCCACCACCGCCCGGCTTAAAGCAGTTCTTAATGTTTGGGGGCATTAGATCTCTTTGAGAATCTGGAAACAGTGATCTTAAAGAGTCAGGGTCTCACAGAATCAATACATGAATGTGTATCTATATGAGACCTGGACTAGGAAGCCATTAACCCAACAGGATTATATGTTCAACTTTTATTATTGTTGGGCTGTGGCCTAAAGAGGTGGCATCAAGGCATGATATATGTTGTTAGTGTTCAAGCTTAGCTAAGCATTTATGTAAAATCTGTTAGAAGTTCAAATTTATAAAATTGATGTAAGTAAAATTTGTCTAGTTAAAGCCAGTGTGGGGTTCTGGAGCATGCTCACTTCCAGCTCCTACCTCTCCTGTCTTGTCCCCAAAAGCATATGCTGGGACTTTTTATATGGCTATAGAATCCTGGTGACACAGGGAAAAAAACAAAAATAAAACAAAACAAAAAACCACAACCATGTATCTGCAGGGAATCTGGTTCTTTAAAAAAAAAAAACTTAAGTACATTTATTTATTTGTGTATGTCATTTGTGTGCTACAGTGTGCATGTGGAGGTCAGAGGGAGTCAGTTCTCTCCCATGGAGGACCTGGGGATCGAACTCAGGTTGTATCTTGGCAGCAAGTGCCTTTACCCACTGAGCCGTCTTCTGGCCTTACAAACATGCTTCTTATTGGAGTTCTATTGCCGGTCATTTAGCAGACATTGCTGATCTCCTTATTTAAAAAGGAAGAGATGAGAGCCTTCAATGAAATGAGTTCTGTACTCTGCAGTGTACTTGAATTACATTACATTACATTATGATGATGTTGGAAGTGGAGTTTGATATAAGTAGAAACATTGAGTGAAAATTTTCTTGAAGTTTTGCTATTTGGCAATTCTTTTGAAAGATGGCTGTTCAGTATCCAAAGTATATTAGGAAGTCCTTATTTTTAGTGGTGTTTACATACATACTTAACATTGCAAAAGACCCTAGGAGAGAGCCATCAAAATGTAAAGAATAGGTACTTAAGGTTGAGCAGATCATTGATAGTTTTATTTTATTCTGTTCACTTTTGTATTTTCTTTAAACTTTTTGATTGCGTTTTTATTTAGAGTGTGTGTGCCCATGTAGACACATGCACCATATTAGTTAGAGAAGTCAATTTTTTTTCCTCTATTGGGTGGGTCCCAAGTATTGAACTCAGGTCTTCAAACTTGGTGGGAAGCTCTTTTACCCACTGGGCCATCTCATGGGCCCCCACTTATATTTTCTGAACATTCTAGAGTATCTTGGGAGGTAAAGGCTCGAGGTTCGGGGTTTCCAGACCAGCCTAGAGTTACATATCCTAGAGTTCCTGTCCTGCCTGTGCTATGAAAATAAAACAGTTTGAAAAGTATTTGAGAATGACTCGATACTACTTTAATAAAAATAATATTTTAATATACATCATTTCATAGAAAAACCAAGCCATTCAAGTTCAATTTTGGGTTTAGTATATATTTGGAGTAAAGAGTAATTACATATTTGTTGATTTTTTTTTATTTAAAAAAATTTTATATGAGTGTTTGCCTGTATGTATGTCTGTGCACCATATGTACAGTGCCAGAGGAGGCCAGAAAATGGTATCAGAACTAGAACTGGAGTTAGAGGTGGTTGTGAGCCATCATGTGGGTGCTGGGAACCAAACCCGGGTCCTCTGGAAGAGCAGCCAGTGCTTTTAACTGATGAACTGTCTCTCCAGCCCTGCATTCCTTATTTCTAAAAAGAACAGACCCTGTTGTAAAAGCATTCTTAAACGTTCCTTTTTAGGTGTTTCTGCATGAAAGAAGATCAGCTACAGTGGAAGAGGCTTAACAGGCTTTAGGATGTCTGAAGATGAAGAAAAGGTGAAGTTACGCCGCCTTGAACCAGCTATCCAGAAATTCACGAAGATAGTGATCCCGACAGACCTGGAGAGGTTAAGAAAACACCAGATAAACATTGAGAAGGTGAGGTTCATTTCCACGGCAGAAGCAGGTACCTGCATGGATTCTTGCAGTCTGTGATTTCAGCTGAGCAGAGAACCTGAGACTTCCTAAGACACCCCCACTTCACTGATACAGCAGCATTCACTTTTTAAGCTGGTCTCATGTTCTACAAATGTAATGCTCATATATTCTCTTTATTATGTCAAGGAAGGGCGATAGGAGTAGAGTTTATACCTTTTTAATTTACATGTGGAGGTTTTAGGTAGTTAGTAATTAAGTTCAAACTGTTTGATAGTGCCCCATAATGGGAAGGTGGGAGCTGTGGCTGATGGAGCTGCCTTAATCTCATTCACCCCATGGCAAGTGTTTTGAACTTGCGCCTATCAGTAACTTCTGTCCTCTTCATGTAAAGATGTAAATAATTGGGTAATGGAAGGGAATTTCCTTTCTTCATTGCTTCTCTTTGACAAAGGTCCCAGATTGAGAAGTACTGCCAAGGAGGGTTGGGGAAGCAGGCAGAGGGTAGATGAGCTGCTCAGAGACCATCATAGACCCTGCCATGGACAGGCTGTGATGTGGGGCTTGTGACAATTACTGCAGCCTCAGGTTTACTGAGAACTGAGCTCTGACTTGGAAAGGTGGGTTGTCTTCTGCTTTAAGCATCTACTTCTCTTTTGTAATTTTAGGATTAGGGTGGACTCTGTGGTCAATAAGCCTTTCAATATAAGCTCTATTCACTAAAAATACCAATTTGTTTTCTCCTACCAATTTTTCTAGTATTTAAGTGCTTTTGAAAAAACACAGAAACTGATTTCTAAGATGTCTGCAATGGAAATTTCTTGGAGGGCTTTTTTAGAATTCAGGATTAATATTTTTTTCATCCCTTAATTCCTCTTCTTTACATAAAAGACATAAGTGATAGCTATAGCCTGTAAGGATGCAGAAAGAATTGTCTGGTAAACTGGGTATCTTGGAATGGAAGCGTGTGAAAGGATTCCATGCTTTGCTCATGGGATAGAGAAATATATCAAATCTTCTACCTAGAGTTGAGCAATGCAAAGTAAACAGTTCTGTTTCTATATTGTTACAGCATTAAAAATGTGTAGAAGATTTGATAAGATGTGCTTCAAAGTCCTGAGCTATACCGATTTCTCCATTACAAAGATGATAAGAATTGGGTAGATGAATCAATTCTGAAAGGTAGAAGCAAGAGGTCTGTGGACTATTAAAGCCATTTCCCCCTTTTTGTCCTACTTTACCTTTGAGATTGAACGTCTTTCTTATTTTGTGTGAAAATGCCTGCTCTCATTGCTCAAGCCTCGCTACATGTGTGTGCTGTCCTATGGTGGGAAGTGAGACCCCTGCAGCAGGGTGGGGGAAGGGAATGGGTCCGTTACTGATTGGATTAGTTGTGCCAGGTGTCGGAAGAGAATTATCTTGGAGTTAGTGCCATTGATTCTGCTCTGCCTGAACATGTTTCTTTTAGCATTTTTACTTATTATGAAACCTTCAGACATTATCAGATAATTATAATGGACAAACATGATAATATCTAAAGCTAAGAAGGCAAACTCATATTGATTTATGCTTTTAAAAAATATACTTGAACATTTCACTGTCTGTAGGGTTTCTAGATTAATTATGAAAATACCTCTTTGTCTGTACAGGATTGACTAGCATATTTGGATGGCTAGGCTGTGACATGTAAACATTTTTAAAGACTGTAGAGCTCACTCTGTGCAGGACAGTTAACTAAAGTTAGGCTCCAGGTGTCTTACAGTGCCTCACTTTCAGAAAGGGATATTCTTCTTGAGGAAAAGGTGTAGAAAGATACAATATTTATTATTCTGGCCATCAGTCATCCAATATGAATTTAAAAGAAAAAAGCCAGACTGGAGGGAAATTGAAGGTAAGCCTTTAGCAGTGATTCTGCAGCAGTAAGAACAAAGAGAGCAGTGTGCTGTGGACACCTGGGCCATGTTCCGTAGGCTTCAGCTGTGCACTCTTACACATGATAATGGTTGTGAACATGTGATCCTGAAGTTGGAAGCCTTAGCGTTCAGCTTTCTTAGCCAGTGTGTCGTAGGTATAGCACAGTAAATAGGAGCTACAAGATAGCCAACTTGGACCACAGTTTTCTTTGTTTCATATTGTTGGGGTCTAAGAAGAAACTTACCTTGAGGGATGTACACACAGGATTTATATGAATTATTGTATGGCTAAGAAGCAGGTGAGAAAACCCCCAAATGGCTTATCAGATAAGGTGGAGCTTGTTTGTCTTAGCTTTGCCTCCATCTCATCTCTCAGGGTAATGGAAGCCATCCATTACCTGCAGGCATGCTCCATCCTACCCAGCTTCATTTTCCTTCTAATGATCTTGTTAGCACTGTTCTATTTTGAAGGTGAATTCCTCAGTAAAGAAGGCAGAGGAGGTATGGCCCTGAGTAATTTTACTTTTTGTCTTACATCTGTTAATGACATGCACCCCATCATTTGCCTCCATTGAAGCTTTGTTCTTTGTTCAAATACCAGCTCTGGTACTTCCTGTGAAGTGTGCTCTGATTGATGTCATCACCTTATATTTAAACATGTTATCTTGACACAACCCTGTGAAGTAGACCTTAACATTTACAGACTGAACATCCACGTTTTAACCCCAGTATACCTGTTGGAGTTATTTTATTAGAGGTGGTGCTGTAGCAGGGATGAAGTGGGGTTTGCAGGGAGCTAAAAGGAGTGGGTATACTATACATTGTGTGACCATCCATCTGACCTAAGAGAAGGGAAGTGAGCAAGGAAGATGACAGGCTCACTATCACTTGGAGCTGGTCCAGGCTGCTTGGGAACACCATCTCATCTTTGCCTTTGTTAGGCTTGGAGCCCAGGCTCCCCAGCTTCTCTAGTTGGCCCCTGCAGAGAGGGCTACCTTCTGTGGTCATGGGGCAGGGCAGTTGCTTGTGGGGAGGTGATGTGGTAACTACGTGTGGCTTATGTAAGCCTCCCACTAGTCCTGCTTTTCTCTCCACCACACTTTTTAACTGGTCTCCTGCACCTAGTATTTCTGAACATCTAGCCTGCCTGTGGCCTCTGTGCCTCTCTCCCGTCCAGCCACTTCTACAGGCCCAGATTGTTGCTCTCTCTGATCTGCTGTACCCACTGCAATGTGTCTATAGTCTTCCCAGCTTCCAAAGTTTGGTTAAAAGTTCTTGTCTGTTGGTGTCTTCTGATGTGTTCTCATTGCTCTTGTGAATTTTCACCTCTTAACATTCTTTATTGTCCTTTTGTGGGATGTTGGAAAAGAGCAGAAATGAATATTTGTGTTCAATCTGCCAGGTTTAATGAGAAACAAGATTATTTATTATAGGAAATAAATATTAGCTTTCCTTAAGTATTTATTGGTGTTTTGTATTTGCTGTTTCTTAGATTGTTAGCCTTGAATGATATGTAAAAATAGATTTTCAATTCTCAAGAAGTTTGCAGTTCAGTTAAGGAAACAAGATAGAAAATAATTGAAGAATGATCAGAGGCAGCATAGACTATGTGTGAAATGGGTGACATGGACTAGACAGTCAGTTTGCAGCTGGAACCCAGCAGTACCAAATAAAAGAAGCAGGCTGACTTAGTACTTATGTATTTGTTCATATTTGTTTGTTTGTTAATTTGTTATTACAATATAGCCCCCTCCCCATCCTGTGACTATCTCCTTTATCAAACTCAGACGATGGTGAATGATACTGGGTCTGATGAATGTGCTGATTCAGCTCTTGCCCATGTTTGGTTATCAAGGAGCAATAGGCACATCTTGCAGTTCTGGCCAGTAAGCCTTGACCAAAAGCCTGGTAGGAATTTGGACCTCTAGAAATATTTTCCTACTTAAAAAAAGATACACATATAAGGAAACAGACCCCTTTCTTCTAGTGGTCTGGTTATGTCTTCCTGTTGTATCTGGAACTATAGCCAGCCCTACTGCATTTGGAGACAAATTTGAGGGCTTTGTTGAAAGTGTGGAAGGCAGAACCTGGCACTTGTTGACCTTGTAAGTTCCTATATTAAACCACCTGGGATGATTGCTACACTCCTGGCTGCTTTCTGTGTGACGTAGAGAGTGTGTTTGTTGTTGGAACCACTTGTGTTTCTGTATTTAGCAACCTGAAGCATAATGCTGTAGTTCTGCCTTAATTCACTTGCCTGTCCTGCTGTGCGGATAAACGAAGACCATCTCCCGCGGAAGCCAGCTGCTTAGAGACACTTGCCAGTGGCCCAAACTTAACTACAAGTTTAAAGGTTGCTTCTAGAGGTTTTCACACATATTACACCACCCTGCTTTTTATCCCTCTCACCAAATGTTTGGGATAATTGCTTTTCACAATATATCCTAATTTCATACAAAATTGAATAGTAAGCAGTAGTAAACTTAATTATTTTATTCTTTTTCTTTTTATTATTTAAGAAAATTTTTAAGCCGGGCGGTGGTGGCACACGCCTTTAATCCCAGCACTTGGGAGGTAGAGGCAGGTGGATCTCTGTGAGTTCAAGGCCAGCCTGGTCTACAAAGCGAATTCCAGGAAAGGCGCAAAGTTACACAGAGAAACCCTATCTCGAAAAACAAAAAACAAAAAAAAAAAAGAATTTTTTTTAATTCATTTAACATACTAACCACTCATCTCTCATCCCTCCTCCTGCTCCCCCCACATCCTTTCCCACCCCAACCCACCCCCCATCCCCTTGTCCAAAAGGGTTAGGATTCCCGTGGGGAGTCAGCAAAGCCTGGTACATTCAGTTGAGGCAGGACCAAGCCCCACCCCCTGCATCAAGGCCAAGCAAGGCGTCCCACCATAGGTAATGGGTTCCAAAAAGCCAGCTCATATACCAGGGATGGATCCTGATCCCACTGCCAGGGCCCTTCAAACAGACCAAGCTACACAACTGACTCCAGTATGCAGAGGGCCTAGTCCAGTCCCATACAAGCTCCACAGCTGTCGGTCTAAAGTTGGTGAATTCCCATGATCTTGGTTCAGTTG